CAATGTAGCCGTCGGCCTGAGGCGTATTCCCTCCCGCCCGGTTACGCTATCAGGATCAATCATTATCAAGTTTTCTCCTTATAGCCGGATGCGGCGCAGGATCATGTATCGTGTGCTATCAGGTCCAGTAGAATAGCTACATAATAATATAAACTTAGTTGAGAAAACTACATAATAGATTCATAACAATGTTATATTATCTTACCATAAATCGTGTCTGCATCCTGAATGTAGTCAGTACTGTCGCAGGCATGCACATGAAACCTGAAAAGGGAATTACTTAATTGTGTAACAAAAATAAATAAGTTATAGTTAAAAAATTTCAAATTCAATACCTAAATAAACTCATACCTGCGCATGTGAAGACTGGCCATAACTCAGCCGGCGGCCCACTAAATAAATCTCGCGTCGGTCGACCCTCAGTCAGTGTAGACGGGCCCAGGGAAATATTACCCCAATCCGCTCCTTGAAAATCCCGAGCCCGTGAATCATAGTTGACCGATGGGGTCATCTGTGATGGCACTGGAGTGTCAATTCCAAGCTGTAAGACGGCAAGTCAGTCTCATGCATGCCACCTGCCATTCAGCAGCGCAACATCATCATCAGAGCCACCAATCGCCCCCTGTTTGAACACCGACCTCCATCGGGCAGCACGAGGTCGGTCGGGTCACGCAAGGCAGCTCGTCCGGCACCAAGCCAGGTCGTCGGCACCACCACGCGTCATGGGAGTGGACCAACGACCTCGCTGGTACGTGGCTGGGTTCAAATATAATCAGCCCTCGTGTGCCAAACGCTGATCCGATCGGGTCCGATGCAGTGGTCTGGGCAGCCAAATCCATGAATCGACGACTGTGTCCTTGCATGACCACGGGAATCGTGGACATAACTCTGCATCTGCTGCCCATACGATAGACGATATGCAATCCGATCGCCTGCAGCAAAAAGTAAAGAATATAAACTACGTATTGGCACGAAAATTAAGATAATAATTAAATTAAATAACAGAAAAACATAACCAGAGCCGCGTGTCTCCCGGCGTATGAGACGGTAACCGACCTTCTGCGCTGATGAACTGGGTCCCGATAAAAAGTTCGGGAAATAGTCGGTACCATGCATATAACCTTCAATAGGAAAGTGCTGCGGAGGTGGGTTTAAGTTCCACCTCGCCTGTCCCAAATAAGCCAGCTGGGCGTTTAAGCCAGTTAAGTAAATGTGTCGTCCACCTGGACCGATCATCCCTCTCATAATGTAAAGATCCATGCAGGCGGAAGATCCGTATAGGCTGCCGGCAGGCCAAACTGACGAAAAACCCCGCTCTGAGGCCATGATGCTCACATATAACTAGCGATGCCATGTGAGAGGGACAGAAGCCCTCCAAATATGTCCGCCGAACGTAATACGCTGGCAAGGGTACCTATCACCTCCTCGCTAGTACGGCGGTCCAAATGAACTATCAAATAACAACACAAACGTTAGTATGCGCAACTAAATAAACAATAATGGTACGTTTAGTTAGATATTCACCTGTGCGTCCTCCAGCAAATCCAGACATCCCTGATGCGGGGGAAATTATTGAGGGCATCATACTCTCGTGCAAGTCTACCGACGCATAACCCGCCTACAACGCTAGAGGGAGATTCGGAAGTGTCTATCATTAGCCCGGTACTGTGGATAGAGGTGCGAAGCCTGCAGAAAATCGCTCCCAGACCCAAACCTAACATAGAAAGTTGATGTAATAGTGTTTCAGATTAAACTATAACAGGTAGAGATTGTAACTAACGGACATATTCCGTTGAATTATGTTGTCACCTGTAGAAGCGGCAGGGAAGGCCCAAACAAAACGTCTCTCTGTGTGCCCATGAAGCCCGACACATCTGGCCTTTACAAAAATGAGAGGACAGCACCACCCCAGCTGTGAGCTGGCTGTATCCTCCGAACCGGGTGAATGATGCCAGAAAAGGAGGTCACTAGGTTCCCACGAAGTGTTCGGGAACAAGACCCCCCCAAATATGAAGGAGCAGCAACAGCCTCGTGTATCGCTGCCACATCACTTCCGCTGACTCGTCGGTGATGGTATCTGGAGCTGCAACCAGGTGCGTCTCTAATGGGGACTAACTGTATGCGACTGACCCAGGAACACCCTACCCTCCTGGTCCTCCGCATAAAACCATGGAGCATGTGCAGCATATCCCAATATGCCTGCCGCGGATAATATTCATGGTCGTAGGGAGTAAAACAGGCAAGCCCATCACGGACAGGCCATATAAAATCTCTGCGTCCTTACGAGTGTGAGGTGGCCTCGCCAATGGGCAGATGGAAAGTGTGCGTCTCCGGTCGCCACCGCTCAAATGCATGGCCTGATTAAGGCATATCGGAGGCTGTATCCGACCAGTACTAATAATCTATAAATCCCATCTCCTGCCAGGTGATGGACCACGCGGGGATGTAGAACGCGGGGAGGACTCAAAACTCCCATAGTAGACCCTCCCCCCCCACCCTTCTCTCCTGGCTCCGAAAGTCGTTGTAAGAACTGTCCTCCACAGATATACTCGGATCTATGCTGGGCTGTAGGGCTAATAGATCCGACGTCCGAGGGCCGGGATGTATAGGCCGAGCATCCATGTCGTCAACTGTAAAATGCATAATTTTTAATAACTTAATTGTACAAATTATCATTAATAATTATGTATTTTTTATAATTTAATTCATATTTTTTTAAGACATTAATTGTACAAATTGATCATTAATAATTTATGTTTTTTTTTATAATTTAAAATTCATATTTTTTAATAACTTAATTTTTTTTTTTTTTTTTGTACAAATTACTTACGTATGAGTTCCGGCTCGATATTTTGAGGCCCAGTGGCTATATGTTCTTTTTATAATTTAATTCATATTTTTAATACACTTAATTGTACAAATTACTTACATATAGTTCCCGGGCTCGATATTTTGAGGCCCAGTGGCCAGCGCAAACTATCCATTAATAGTCATATATTTTTTTTTTTTTATAATTTTAAAATTCATATTTTTTAATAACTTAATAGTACAAATTACTTACATATGGGTTCCGGGCCGATATTTTGAGGCCCAGTGGCACCTAAACTATCAATTAATAATCATATATTTTTTTTTATAATTTAATTCATATTTTTTAATACTTATTGTACAAATTTACTTATGTATGGGTTCCGGGCTCGATATTTTGAGGCCCAGTTGTACAAATTATCATTAATAATTATGTATTTTTTTATAATTTAAATTCATATTTTTTAATAACTTAATTGTATAAATTACTTACCCATGGGTTCCGCGCCCCATATATTGTGGCCCAGTGGCACCAAACTATTATTAATAGTCATATATTTTTTTTTATAATTTAAATTTATATTTTTTAATAATTTAATTGTATAAATTGCTTACGTATGGCTTCCGGGCTCGATATTTTTGAGGCCCAGCGGCTATATGTTTTTTTTATAATTGAAATTCATATTTTTTAATAACTCAATTGTATAAATTTTATATATATATAAGTTTCGGGCTCCATATTTTGAGGATCGAAATACCAATATAAGATACTAAAACAAAAGTAATTCTAAGCTAAAATACTACACATTACTACGCTACAAGGCTCTAAATTTTACTACGCTAAAAGGGTCTACGTTTTACTATGCTAAAAAGGTCTAGATTTTACTACGCTAAAAAATAATCTAAACTAAACATAAACAACAAATAAATTTAATTGCAAATAAACACAAAACGGCATGAAAGCACATATATATAAATGAGAATATTAACATACAAATTTATTTGACAAATTTATATTTTTATATAAAATAGTAAAATTAAATCCGGATAAATTTAAGATGCTAATTTCGCAAAAAAAAAAAACACAAACCGAAATAGAACACATACAAATCAAATAATATGCATTATCATAAAAGTTTCAACTTAAAATAAATCGAAATACCTCGATTTAGAATTTTCGGAAAGCAAATAGATCGAAATTTTGACTCCGAAAGCGTGAATCAACAATAACAAGAAGCTCTACTCGAGTGTGGGACCTACGTTCTTCAAGTTTTATGTGCCGGGGGGACCCAATTTTTTTTTTTTTTATAATGGCGGACAGTGGGGGGACCAGGTTTTGGATTGGGGATTAGAATAATGGTGAAGAAGAAGACGGGAGGGTTTTTTTGTTGAGGGATATAACGCCAGGTTTTCTGGCGCTATATCACTGTGTCAGTGTATAACGCCAGAAAACCTGGCGCTATATTACTCTGACAGTGTATAACGCCAGAAAACCTGGCGCTATATAATAACGGTGCAGTTACCGTTATTATATAGCGCCAGGTTTTCTGGCGTTATATATATTATTGTTACCTTTTTTTTTACACTTATTTGTGTCTTTTGAAACCAAAATAGCAACATTTTGGTTCCGGACTCAGAAATGGTTAGATCTCATTTACGTCTTTTTAAGTTGCTGTACTCTTCCGTATTTCAGGATGCATTTTCCAACTTTTGAGCGTGTGTATATCAGTACATGCGAGAGTATAATTTTATTTTTAAGAATACGTTCGGTCCACTTTAATTAATTTTTTAATATTTTTTATAATTCATATTATTTAATTTTTTCAGATATAAAAATAAAATTAACTTTTTTTCTTCGAAAGTTATCCTTAGAGTAAGAGCCTAGGAGTATATATTATATTTTTAATGAACAAACTAAGATTAACATAGTGAATTCTATTGTTAATTAGTATTAAGAGGTAAAATGTTTAATATGTAGAAAAATAGTAAAAAAAATTAATTTAAATGGACTATTATTTTGGTTTGTCACGCTTACACCTATGTTTATTCTATTTCTGAAATTTTTTATCATTTTTGTTAATTAGTTTAAATTATTAAAATTTCTGATTTTCAAGAACACACGACCTTGGATTCAACGTGCCGTAAAAGACAAAATAACAAAAACGTGTATCGTTATCTTCCTTACATTTTGTCGTGATAATCAAATTCCATTAAACTTCTGTCCTTATGCATTACACTGCTAAAATCTTAACCCAAAAGAGGAACCCTTTTTGCAAGAAAATGGAGCTTCGGAAAACCCATTTTCTTCTCAAATCAATTCTATTGCTGATTTTTTTCTTGCTCTTTGTTTCTGTAAGTTATCAAATTTCGATCCCTGCCAAACAAGATGGGTTCTGGTACGAGAACAGAACACCAAAGGTAGATTCAATTTTAATCGAGGCTTTCTTTGATCCAGTTTGCCCCGACAGTAGAGATGCATGGCCCCCACTTAAACAAGCTCTACAGCAATACGGTTCTCGTGTCTCTCTTCTTGTCCATCCATTCCCTTTGCCGTATGCTCTTTTCTAACGCCTTTGTTTTGTTTAATTTTCAAATAGAAATGTATCGTTCCTTTGGCGACAAACTAAAAAGAAAAACATATCACACAAATTGGGACAGGGGGAGTATTGGAATGAAATGAATCTATTGGATATATAGGATTTTATATATAGCTAAATGAGGTGTAGTTGATTGATTTTTAACTTTCAGTTTATATCTGGAACTTAAATCCCTTTTGTGTGTGTGGTGTGTGTGTGTGTGGGGGGGGGGGGGGGGATAGAAGAAAGTTAATCTAAGTTGAATGATCTGACCGATTTATTACTCCCTTTACTGTGTTTCAAGAATTCGCGAGGACCTATAATATTGTGCCTTCTTGAACTTAGGGGTAAGGTGCAACGTACACACTATCCTACCCAGATTACACTGTGTTTTCTGTTGTAGTTGTTGTATGTAGGTAAAAAGGGAGTTTTTTCGGGTGCATCTCTGCTTGCTGTTAGCTGAAATGATGATATATTCATTAGTGTAGGCACTTTTTTGCTGATTGATGTAATTTTTTTTTCTGTGTAGACTTCTTTTGCATTCTATCTCAATCTTTTGAACTCAAATTGCTGATGTTTTGGTTGACTCTCTGATATGTTGACTCTCTTTGGTATACGTTGAACATCCAATTGCTTCAGTAATGGTTAAACACTGTGTTCATTGGTCATATATCACTGTATATATTTTCAATGATGACTTGTGCTCAATTTGCTGTCTGAAACATTATGTAAGATGGTGGCATCTTTATCGAGGACTTGCCTACTTAACATCTAAATATTAAGATTAACCTGAATGATGCTTCTCTGAACTTTGCTTCTGCACAGTAAAGTTATCGACTGCTATATTCATTTGTAGAAAGTTTTAGAACTAATGCAATGTCTGTATTTGAAAATTCATTAGTCTTTTAGACTTGCTATATCACTGTGTTAAATGGTGTGTATTTCCTCACATGGAAGCAATTGCTAGCGCTTTTCTTCTTCCTCTTTTCTTTTTTGTTGAGAATCAAATGTTGCATGAGTAGGGCATGACAATATGTTGTTTTCCTGTTCCGCTTTTGGAAAAAAATCCTACCAGACAGAGATTGACTTGTTTACTTGCTAATCTGCAGTTACCATGACAATGCATTTCTTACCTCGCGTGCATTGCATGTTGTCAATAAGTTGAATGCTTCTGCCACGTACAAGCTACTGGAGTCGTTCTTTGATCATCAGGTAAGAGGTCTCTGTACTGAATATGTGGAACCTCAACTGCAGTCAATAACTCATGTTAAAAACCATTGTTCTAAATGAAGAGATACATGCACCTCTCATTTTTCCGTCTATGTCAATGTTTGTTTTTGCCTTGACAGTTAATGTTCTTTGTGATTTAATTTTCAAGATGAAAGTGTATGCTGCTGATTTCCTTTTCTCTTTTCCCCTAATATACTTGTTGCTCTATTGTATGCTTTAGCGTGATGCTTCAAAAGTCCTACTCCTTTAGCTTATATTCTTCCTTTCCAATTACTTGCTATCGTCATGGACTTCTTATTCTAGTTTATAAGATACTTTGAGGTGTCTATAGGCTATGTAAAATGATGTTTTTGGAATCTTACAACTAGGTAACTTTCAATTTATGGCTTCATAGCATTTTCCTTCTACTTTAAACAACCTTGAGATCATTAGTTGTGCGGCATATTATGTTCCTGGTAATTTACCTCAAAGATTAGGTCCTCTATCACTCAAGTTTCCTTCAACTGTTAATCTGTAGTTCGAGTGCTTTTAGTCAAGAAAATTTATTGCGCACTTCTTCAAAAGAAAGCATTACAATTTGCAATATGTTCAAATTCCGAAAATTGGAGAATTTTGTTTCCGATGGTTATGACTTGTTATTACTTCAATTCTTTTCCTCCCCTTCATACCCCCATCCCCTGGTGGAAGAAAATCCCGAGAAGATGAAAGAGAGAGAGAAAAATGACCTCTTAATTCAGGCATAGAAGCTAGCTAATCAGTTTATGGTGAACAAAAACCTCTTAGTTCTGTAGTTAAAGCTTTGTCAAAGCAAAGTAGTGAACCTAAAACCTTTTCGTTATTTGATTAAAGCTTTGTCAAGGCAGAGTGAAAGACAAGTGAAAACGGACAAAAAAAGAAGCTACTATATGACATTTCAGTAATGGGACCGTACCTGTTTGGCCATGAAATATTACCTTCATATTAGTTCAACATATTTTTTGCATATACTAGTCTGGCCATATTTGTGAATATTGAACTTCAGTAGAAATATTGACTTTCTGGAAGGTTATTTCAAGTGAAATACTAGTTTCCTCTCATAAATCTTCAATTTTCACAACTTTTATTCCTAATGAAGTTCATGTGCAAACACAACTGAATCACAAACTTGTTTTCAACTTCAATTCAAATATTGTCCAAACATCTATGAAATTGGTGAGCTACAAAATGTGCACGAGCGTTAATGATTTGAAGCAACAAAAGAACCTAGAAAAACATGGCTGATCGTGAACCACGGATGAGTCAACTGATTGAATGCACAAAATTGTTAATTTACGATGTTTGACATGTATTTGAGTACTTGATATGACGGTGCATTGTTGAACAGGAAGAGTTTTACAACAAAGCGACTTTCGACTTGTCTAGAGCATCTCTTGTCGAAAAAGTTGCGAGATTTTCAACTAATGCAATTGGAAATTCGAATTATGATGTGATTAAGGCTGGCTTTACTGACTACAAAACTGATCAGGCCACAAGATTTTCCTTCAAGGTAAATTATCCTTAATTATCACTGATGCCGGACGCCTGATCTTTCTTCCCTTTTACTTCTTCTAGCTGATTCGTTTATATTCTTTCTCAGTATGGCTGTGTGAAAGGTGTGTATGGAACTCCCTTCTTCTTTATAAATGGGTTTCCGCTACCAGACGCTGGCTCAGCAGTGGACTATAAAGGGTGGAGACGCGTCCTCGACCCATTGGTTCATCAGCAGGACACTGGGAGGAATGACCTTTTGCATTTCTTCTTGTGAATCACAGATCTTTAACTATCTATTTGCATCTATCTCGATCGTTAGATTACTGAGAAAGACTAATATGTATCTTGTTTATAATAAATCGGTTGTTAACGTAGTTTGCTGGCTAAAGTGATTTCAGTATGAGTATTTCTATGCAGTTACTGATAATGGATTGTGAACTCTATTTAGCTGATATGGTAGATGAGCTGGGAACCCGCATGTTAAATACCCACAAAATTCTAGGAACTAATTTTGATTCAATTGTCAACTTAATGTTTCTTTGCATCGATCCTTTTTCCATCAAATTATGGCCTGGCTTTTAGAGGCGAATCTAGGATTTGAATTATATGGGTTCAACCTCCAATATTCTTAGGATTGAACCCATTGTATTTTTATAGTTATGGGGTCATATCTATGTAGATTTTGTAGTTTTAGTGGATTTTTAAATATAAATGTATATTTCGCGTCGAAAATACTAGGATCAGTTTGAACCCGACACTCATATGCTGCATCCATCCCTGCTAGCTTTAGTATGGTAGGGATTAGCTGCATCCATCCCTGCTAGCTTTAGTATGGTAGGGATTATAAAATGAGTTTTTACATTCCTATGCCATATAGTAAACTATATTACCCTCCATGCTTAACTTTTAATATAATTACCTTCTATATACTTAATTATCATTTATGTACCATTTTAGGATTTTAATGGTATTAATTAGTCTCCTAATTTTAGTCAACCGTATATTCCCACTCCCCCAAGTTTCTCTCTCCAAATCCCACGATTTCCTCTTCAAACACCCACGATTTCCTCTTTTAAAACCAGCGAAAATCTGTAACCCCTCCACCATTGACAACCATTAAAAAGCTTTGAAGCTTTGAATTCGAATTTGGGTTTTCAAAAGACATTGTTTGTTTGGATTGGATGTTGTTGCAAAGAATTGAGAATTCTCTCTACGTCTCTCTCTATCTCGCAATCCCAAATTTCAGTAATAGAGAAAAGGAAAAGAGAGCAGCAATTCCACCATTGACAGCCATTAAAAAGCTTTGAAGCTTTGAATTCAAATTTGGATTTTCAAAAATCATTATTTATTTGGATTGGGTGTTGTTGTAAATAATTGAGAATATGGTTTGGAGTTTATATCTCAATTTTGAGGAGTTTTGGTGAAGATTAGACTTGGTTTTTGCTGAATTTCAGATTGAAACTCGAAGAAGAAGAAGACGACATGACATACATTATACTGCAGAAATTGTAGATAAATTGTAGAAAAATTGTAGACTGTTGTTTATTTATTTTTATGCTTTGTGCTTTTGTGTTAAAAGTTTTGATGGGAGCTTGTTATTCCACTTCGTCTGTTTTGGAGTCTAACTTGTGCAGAGGAG